CCCTTCTGACGAAATGCTACAAAGCCAATAATACGACCCCGCCTGATCCACACTAGGGGTACTGTAAGCGGACGAAATCTCCGTTTCGGGACAAGGTTTGTCAGCTATCCCCCAGCCATTGTTCCTACAGCAGGCTAGAGCATTTCGCGGGAGAGAGTACCGTCCCACGCCACTCTCTATCGAGCAGCGACTAGGAGAAAAGATCTCAGGTCCGTGGCACGCCTTGACCCAGCAAGCAGGCGGATGCGGGTCCGGGGCCTACAGCCAGGCCGCTATCTCGGCGGCGGGAAGGAAAAGGGTCGGCCCACGCGCGGGAGGAGCGGGGAGCAGCAAGCTCGCGCTGGATAGCTGAGGGCGGGAATAAAAGATGTACGAGGAAAGGGTCACCCCAGAGGTTAGGGGCTCCGGTAGCCGCTGAGGCCTTTCTCACCATCGCGCCAAACTCTTTTTGCTGCTGCCACCGCCGACTCCACAAGCCACACACGAGCTCAGCCGCAATGCTGCCAACAGCCAATCTCCACAAGAGAAGCCACCGGAAATCGTCCAAAAGACCATAGAGGTGAGCACACTTCCGGCAGCTAGAGAAGATGCTGGCTCGGTTTCAACCACCTTGGATGAGGGCGATGACTTAGGAAAGGGAAAGCTTTGGCGCGTTAGAAAAATAATTTCTTTCAAGACTGTCTTCTGTATTGTAGTTCTTAGGCACACGCTAAAGTGATCATTAGTTTAGAAAGTGGCCCCCAAACCTCTTTCATTAGCCCTATTCAAAAATGGCAGCGATATGTTTCCCGGGCCACAGGTCGGTTGTAACCCGGAAGTGACTTTCTAAGGCGGGGTCAGGAATAATCCGGAAGTGAGTGTAACGAAGAGGTGCCACTTGGCGGCCATGGCAGCTGTAGTATTGGCGACTCCGGGTCGAGGCCCGGCGAAGTGGAATACCATGGGCAGTAGCGGGTATAGGGCAGAGACAGCTTTATGTCAGTTTAGCTGGTGAATCCCTACGGCCCATCGTTAGAGACCTGCAAGACTCCTTTCCCCAGTCTAGTGTCGGAGGGGAGTGTACTGGGACCTGCGGGCTGGTCCCAGAACTGGGGAGCGGATCAGCTAGCTGCAGGGCCGTCCGAGAAAAACAGGCGCCGAGACTACGCCAAGAGGTTCACTTGGGTTTTTCTTTTTTTCCTGCTACTATCCGAGACGTTGTGTATGTAGCGGAGGAGTGGGCCGTTGTACCACCCTCATTCCGAAGATTGAAGAAATTGCTCATTCGCACAATTTCCCCATCTCTGTTAACCCACGAGAATCCAGTGACTGACATTTAAGAACCCAGGGGCTGGGATCTAAGAGTGCTCAAAGTTTTCTCTGGTGCTAGTGTCAGCAAAAAGGGATCGTTTCCACGTAACATTCAAGAGAAAAGTGCCTCGAGAACACATCTGGTGAAGAGGCCTAAAGAACTGAAAAGTCCATTTGTTCTCTTGGAACCACTGCATGTTTAGAGCATAAACACCTTTTGAAGCGGCTGGAATTTTGAAGTCTGGTGTTGGAGGGTGGATAAAGGAGGGCAGAATGGATGATTTCATCTCCATTAGTCTACTCTCGCTGGCTATGTTAGTGGGATGTTACGTGGCTGGAATCATTCCCTTGGCTGTTAATTTCTCGGAGGTAAGAAATTCTCGATTTTCTGTCAGCTATCTGGAGGGCTGCTAGGAAGTAGTGACAGTTTCAGAGGAAAGCTGCTTTCCTAGTTAATTTCAGCTCTAAAGACTCATTTAAAAAGACTTTTTTTTTTAAAGTTCAAAAGACTTAAGTATAGCGACAAACTTCATATTCGGCTCTAGAAATCTTAACCTGGGGTTAAATCTTAACTCCCCTGAAGACCCTGTAGTATTCTGAATCCCCTGAAATTTGATTTTTTTAAAAATGGGGTTCTGTGCATTTTCCTGAAGAGAGGCACCCTAGCATTTCTGTTGATTCCCAGAGGTTTCAAGGAATCAAGGTACTAGATTGTTATGGAGAGAATTATTATTTTCCCATGTGACCCGAAATCAATATGATAATTTCTTCTTTTGGGAGAATTAAGCATACATTTTTGGGAGTTTTTTTGGTACCGGGGATCGAACTGGAGTCCTTGTGCTTGAGACGCAGGTGGCGGAACCACTAAGCTAAATCCCCAGCACCTCAAGTATACATTTTTAGGGAAAGCAAAGTTTGTTCCTTTGGGGGTACCTATACTACAGTCAGTAATATGACTGTAGTTTAACAAATAAACCAAAAGTTTACCCAAGATAAATCACTTTGTTCTTTGAGGGAGATACTGGGGATTAGACCTAGGGCCTTCGTACTGAGCTACATCTGCTTTCTTATTTATTTTTTGAAACTTTAAGAAAGGATCTTGTTAAATTGCCTTTCGGCTGGTCTCCAATTTGAGATCTTCCCGCCTGAATCACACAGATTATAGGTGAGATTATAGGTGTGTGCCACCACACCCAGCTAATGAAGTTGTTCTTAACTCTCCTCCCCCTTTTCCCCATTAAGTTTATTGGTACATTTGAAGCAAACGATACAGTTACATTTATCATTGGGATCTTGTATCTTTATATGATATATTTCAGTTCTTGTTTTTTCCCCATTCCCCTGCCCTCCCTTCACCCGCTTTACCCTTCCCTATGTACGAAGACTTTTCCATTTTTTCACATTTTTTTTCTTTTCCCTTATTTCCTTTCTCCTCCCCTTCCCACTTCCTTTTTAACTATTTCCTATTTCACACTCCCAGTTATACCATTTGAACCTTATTTACACTATTAGTTTTAAGAGTATAACCTCAGTGTACATCCATTTAGCTATAAAGGTTTCTAGTTTCTCATTCTTTATGGCTTAACTCCTTTTTAAAGAAGCAGAGCATTGGAATGGATATTCTGAAATTGTTTTCAAGTCTTTTTGCATAGAAACGAACTTTTGGTTAATATGTATTGACATTTTGGTTAATTTGATCCATATCATTCCTTAAACAAACATTACTAGAGAATGAAGGCTAGATGAAAATGTTCAATGAAAACATAGGTAGATTTTTTAGATTGTCATAAAGAGTTCACAAAGTGTACAGTGTTCAAAGACTTGGGGAAGAAAAGCTACTACAATTTAGAGGAGAGGAGTTTTCATGAATTTGTCCAAGAGATCAGTAGTAATGCAGGCCCTGTCTCAATGCCAGTCTTTCAAAGAAAATGGGAGGTGTGTGTTAGTCTGAGAAAAAACCTGAAGAAAAGACTTTGCTGATGAAGATAATATCTTGGGGCAGAGAGGAAGGTAAGACTAGGCTTTAGAAATTTGACCAAAACTGGGAAGCCGGCTGCTAGATGGGAGGCTTGAATTGCTGCCCCATTTCTGTTTCCTTTTATATCTTTACCTCTTGGTATCTAATACAAGATTTTAAAAATTATGTGTGTTAAACTTTCTTCACTTAAAAACTCTTTGAGGTATAGATGAGGAAACTGACACTCAAGTAATTTGGGCAAATTCGTGAAGAATATTAGAATCAAGCTGTTTAAATCTCGGTTCTTCTGAGTCAAAGCAGTTCTTGGCCATTCTGGCCATTGCTGTAAAAGTGTGTAGTAGATACACAAGGCAGCCCATCTACAAATTGATTAGAATTTTTTTTTCTTTTTTTGGTACCAGGGATTGAACTTGGGACCTTGTGCTTGTGAGGCAGGCGGTGGAAACACTGAGCCAAATCCCAGGCCCCGGAATATTTGGTTTTATTATCATTATTTTTTGCCTGAAGGTGACAGTTGGGTAGAGCTGAGTAGCAGTGGATGTCACAGTACTCCTTGGCTTGTGAAGCCCACTTCACTCTTTTGGGTTACTTGCCTGCTTAGTACTTTGTGATCCCGCTCTCCTTCCTCTAACATGAACAGATTTTTCCCTAGTGTAACTATAGTAAAATTAGATTGGCATAGGGTCGGGGATGTAACTCAGTGGCACTGCACCTGCCTTGCAAGTGCAAGGTCCTGCCTGCGTTTGATCCCTGGTACCAAAAAAAAAAAAAAAAATTAGATTGACATTGTTGGGCCTGACATTTGTGAGGTTTGGATTGGTTTGTATGTTTAAAGATTTACTGAAGTAATATTTATGAAAAATTATAATTAATTCAAATAAACAACCTGTACAGTTTTTAATGGGGTCTCAGTATGTTGCCTCAAGTGACCCTCCCACCTCAGCCTCCTGAGTAACTGGGTCTATAGGCCTGCCCCACCACTCAGCTAAAACTTCTAATTTCTCTAAAATGTTTAACCGTGATGAATATGTTTATTATTTATCACAAAGGTATACCAATAACATTTTTTAAATGCTTAGAACTTTTCCAATTTCAGTATTTTATCAGACTTTCTGGAATAAGTATTGAACGAGTATTGAGAGACACAGGTATGTGCTACTTTTTTCACTAACAGGAAATATCTACATGAGTGGTGTTATTAACCAGGCCATTAATAAAGATATACCACATCATTTGTGGCTTTCCAAATCGGTAGGTAAGTGGTCTTTTTCCAGCTGTAGGTCTTAAAATGCTATATAAGTCGGCATTCATAGTATTTGTTTGTTCCTTTCCCTTAGTTACTTTCCCTGCCCCTCCCACTTCCCCTTCCCCTTTGCACCTTTTCTTCCAATTTCGCATTATCTATTATATATTTTGATCCTTATTTACATTTTCAGTTTGTCACACTAGAGAAACTATTTGGTATTTAACCATGTGTGTCCTATTGATTTCATTTAAGAGTATGGCCTCAATGTGCATCCATTGTAAGGTAATATTCATTTGTTATTATAGCAGGAGCAATGCCTTTTGAGCCATTAGAATAGAATAAATGTTATATATAACTTAGTAAAAAACATTTTAGAATTCAACTGAAATTTTCCGTCTCCTAGGAACTAAACACTTTCTGGGCTATTACAGACTGATATACTGTATTATGCAACTAGAAAGATTAAACATTTGTAAAAATAACCTCATATAAGAGGGACTTGGGAAGCAGAATTTCTCCCCTTCACTGGCTAAATAACATCCATTTTTAAGGGAATTTAGCTTTTCCCCAGGGATCAGTATTGTAAATAAGTCCAAACAAACCTACTTTTTACAGTTCACTCCTATTTCTATGTTCACTCTTATTTGTATGCTTTATATTCATGGTCTTAATCTTGCTATTGCTTTGTCATTCGATACTTTCTTCAGAATTTCACTTAGGATTAGTCAGATGAACAGTCAAACTATTAATTTTGTTTTTTTTAATTAGGTCTCTGTATGCAGTTCAGTCTGGCTTTGAACTCAAGGCGATCCTTCTGCCTCAGTCTCCTGAGTGGTGGGATTAAAGGCAAGCTCCACCTTGCCTAGCAATTAAACTATTAATTATAGCAGGATCAGTATTTAGAAATGAGTTAAAATCAAATAGTCTGAAATTGCCATAGCAGAATCCACTTGCCTTATCAGGTGTATGTGATACTCCTCACCCCAAAACCAACTTTCTTGATACTTTCATGACTTTCTTCCTTGCTATTGGTTCCAGCAACTCTACCTTTATGGCTAAATGACTTATAAAACAAAGAGAAGAAATCTCTGGTTTTTCAAATGTAATTCTAAATAAATAATTAAGATGCTATTTTTTTCAGCATGTAGGAAGAAAAACTAAAATTTGTAAAGGAAGCCAAAGTATGCTTTCCACAAATGAGGTCTTATCAGGTAGCAGAGTTGAACGCTCAAATTTAACACCATATTTTATTTTTTTAGGTTCAGTTCTACAAAAAGGTTTTTTTGGGGAGGCACTTAATTACAGTGCTACATAATACATAATTAGGTTGAAAACCTACATTCCCTGGTATAACCTCAGATTAGTAGCTGCTCTGACTGATGAATGAAGTTAGATAAAAACAGATAAAGTGGAATTTTAGGTTGACTGCCTGAAGATTATTTTTGTTTTAAATTTTGTTCCAATCCAGGGAAATACATTTATAAAAATGATGAAGCTGAAAACAAAAAAGAAACAAACTATAAGCTCACATTGTTACTAGGTTCAATGTCAGAATTATTCCTATACTTGTAATAATCTGTATGACTATAAAAGTCTGAAGAATGTCAGTTTTCATACTTTTGTTGTTGCAGAACAGTTTTAGTTATAGTGCCATATTTTTCATTGATTATTGTCCAAAAATAGGCAAATGAAAGTAGTGTTCCAGTTAGGATGATTGTAGAAGTTAGTATTAGTAATGCACTAATTTCAGAAAGAACTGTCTGAGACAACGTAGTTCATGTAGATTCTTTTTTTTTTTTTGTGCTGGGGATAGAATTTGGGACCTTGCACTTGAAAGGCAGGCAGCAGAGCCACTGAACTAGATCTCCGGCAAGACATTGTAGTTCAAAGGCAGTGTCATTCCTTAAGTGAGCTGTTTAACATCCTAATCTCTTCCCTTAGCCTTATAGGATTGTTGGGTGAATGAAATGAAATAATATAAGCAGTGCTTAACACTGTCTAAAACACAAAAAGAACTTGCAAATGTTGAGGAGTCTTAGTACTGTACTTATACAAATATTTTGTTAAAATTTTCAGATTTATAACTTTGTTCTGATTGAATCTGTCTTGGGGCAACAGACTTCTAATAATGAATGTGCTCCTCTT